TCACATCTTCCCTCCAGGACACGCTACCTGTACTTGCTAGGGGCCGAGCTCCTCTCGTGCTCCTGCTGTGGCCTCATTAACCTCTTATTCCTGCTCGGCAGCCCCAGCATGGAGGCACCAGCTCTTGGCTAGCTTGCGTGCATGCCTAGGACAAAGCAGACATGATTGCAAACCGCCTTACAAAGAGTGAGAGCCTACCCTGAGCTCTCGCTCAACCATCCAGCTGTCTGCAAGGCCCCATGTTTTACAAAGCAAGGGGCCACCTGTAGCCCTGTGGGCTCAGCCCGGCTCACACATCAGCAGAGTTTGTGCACAGGCGCCTCCTGGACACCCTGGGGCTGAATCCCCATGGGGTGACACAAGGACCCAAACCCAGACACGCAGGTGCGCTGGGAACCGGGGGTCACACCAGGAGCTGGCTGCAGTGGAGGTGCGAGTGGTCCTTGGCTCCACACATGGGCAGATTTCACGTTCCTCGGTCCAGTCTCCTCTTGCAGGTACCTCGCAGCCGCCTGCTGTGGGCACGGCCCCACCGGTCCGCCGGGGATCCCACAGTCACCGATGGGGCAGCCCAGTGCAGACCGCACGCCCGTTCCCTCCCCGCTGGCCCCGGAGCGAGGGCCGGCCGAATGGGAACGGCTGCTAATTGCCACCAGATCAACACAGCTTTAGCCCTTTGGGGGCCTGCGCCTAAGGAAGCAAACCCCTGACCGGGAGCCAGCTGCTCTAGCCCTTTCGCCAGACACACAGAAGGCTGTATTTTCATTGTAAATTGGAAATCAATCATAGCAGGAAATTCCCGTGCTGAGAACGCCCTGGCTATTATTATTTTATAGCACTCAGAGGTGTTCTGGGCACTTGGAAAGGCCTGGCTCTTTCAGGGTATTATAAGGCAAATTAGTTTTAAAGACTGCTGCTGGCCATTTAGTTTGCAGAGCAGGAGCGGTGCGCGCGGAGGCGATGGTTACAGCGGCGCGGGCAGGGCTTTGCGCTGGTCTCAGACACGTGTCCGACGGGAGGAGGCGTCGCTGCAGAGACGGCATCGGTGCGCTCTGGAGGGAGCACCCCTGGCCCTGACCCCTGCTTTATTAATAACCAGTAATTAATAGGAAAGCGGACATGCTTTGTGTCTCTGAAGACCTTTAAAGATGTGATTATGTTGTGCTAATCTCACCCCAAAGTACTTCCCTGTTTAAACTGCACTGGGTCATTAAATATCTGAAAAGCCAAAGGCGACCCCCCCTTTGCCGCCTTGGGGAGCGCTCAGGGCTCTGTTCCCCGGCAGCCAGGCCCCGCTTTCAAACCCTCTAAATCATGTATTAACTTGAGCCCATATGAACTGCCAGGAAAAACACTCCCTTCCCCTCATCTGTGTCTCATTACCTGCAGTGCCAGGCCTGGCTTTGGAGCCGTTGGCACGCAGATGTGCTGCCCCGCTCTCGCCTACGGTATTTCACAGACATCATCCAGACTGCAAGGAGCAGCTGAACGTCCTGTAGCACCGCACAGGCTCTTAGCCAAGACATGTATCCAGGGACACGAGCAAATGGCCATAGACATACACCCTGACACCAAGCACCTTCCCAGCTCCCTCGGTCTCACGCGAGGCAGGTGAGCTCCGGCGCGCCGTCCCGCCGGGGAGGAAGTTTCCTGGCTGCTTCATGGCGGCAGCCCAGCTCAGTAGGTGGCCAGCTCTGGCAGGGGTCCAGCCCCTCGCTGCCCTTGGTCTGCGCCGGTGGGCCTGCAGAGCCCCGTCCCGGAGGTGTAAAGGGAGACGGGGATGGTGTCCCAGGCAGACCTGTCCTACAGCTGCCTCCCCTGCTCTTCGCCACAGCAGTGCTCGATCGCTCGGGTCCGGGAGCGGATCAGGAAGGTGCAGGCGCCTGCACCTCTTTCCTGATGTGGCTACGCCTCGGCTGCAAGGCTGGCCTTGAGCCCAGGCTCCCCCCAGAGCTCTCGGGGTCCTAGAGCTGGAGTTTTGGAGTTTTGCACCCAATGTACAAATCACACAGTTACTGGCAGATCCTAGCAAGGGGAATAAATATCGCTGCTACACAGCGCTACGCCTGGCAGCGCTTTCGGCTCGAGCTGTGCTCTGGCACAGAACGCAGTGAGATTTGCAGACCCAAGCGGCTGCTCCTGCTGGACTCTCCTTGTGCAACACGTGGCCTGACTATCGATTTACACGTGCTGTGCTCCCCGAGGCCCCCGAACCAGCAGCGCCTACGCACTGCTCCCGGGGAAGGACACTCCTTGGCAGGGCAGGATGGAGCAGGCTCACGAGGCAAAGGTGAGGAGTTAGTTACAGACAAATTCAACCTCGTAATAACTGAGGTGGTTAAACTTGGGGGCAGCTCGGCTGGCACACGGCTAAGTGACCACTGTTTGGAGCCTTGAGCAAAATCAGTACCCTGAGGCCCATAACAAGAAACAACACCTGCTTCATTTCACTCCTGGGGAAACTTCTTCAGCCTGCATCTAGCAGCATCTACAGCTGAACACGAGGATCATCCATCCGTCCTCCACCTTAGACACTGCAAAAGCCAGGCCTGGCAGGCTGCTCAGGCTGTCCTGCTCAGCATCTCCCGAGCTATCGCCATGCAGACATGGGGCCGCCAAGAGCTGCGGCAGCTTTTCATCCTTGCTCAGAAACCTGGGTGTGGGCTGGTGAGATGAGAACCCCAACACGTCCAGGGCTCGCTCAGACCCTGCGACGTCGCCTGGCTTTACTGCCGTAATTTTCCCATACAGGGTGCAAATGGTTACAGTGAAAATGTAATTTTATGCTTTTATGCTGAAAATACCAGATCACGAGAGAACACAACTAAATAATATAGAGGGCAAGTACTTGCCAACGGAGCTGCCCCTTCTCCTGTGCAATAATTAGCTGGCTGTCCTCGCTGCCTCCTGCCTTGCAAGTCATCAGGGTTCACATCCTCAGGCTTTTGCTGATCACAATGGCAGGAAAGTTATTTCTGTGCCAAATGGGAGCTGGTGTTCAGCTCCCAGGCTGTGCCACAGAGGGAAATTCTAGCTATGGGGAGAGTCTGTGAGCAGCATCGACAGCCCTCGACATCTCCTACCTTACAGCAAGTGCAACGCTGCCTCTGCAAATCTCCCAGCCTGCAGTGATCTGAAGTTGCCAAACCAAAGGCTTAGCAGTGCCATAGTAGTCTTTGCTGTGACATAGCATAGCTGTCCAAATCAGGCTCAAAATCTCCTGGGATAAAGCTTACTAGTGAAAGTTTCACCACTTCCTGCAATGCCAGAAAAGCCACAGAAACAGACGCTTTTGTTTAAGTTTGGCACTTTCCTTTTTTGGCCCTGGCTGTCGCCCAGCAGTGCAGAGGTGAACACACACATCAAAACCTCGTTTATGAGGAAAGCTATCCACCTCTTTCTGAACTTCAAAGGAACTGGCACTTAGCCTGGATTTTGGGTACAAGTCCAGGTTAAGTTATTGTATGTGAACAAAGTGATTGGCCATATTCAAATGTTCTCTTCCAGAGAAACGAGGACATGCAGCATCTTAAAGAGCTTTTGGGGGTACAAGATTTAAGAGGAGGGGGAAAAGGCATGGATTTTCTCACTGTCACTGCCTGCCTCCGTCAGTTCAACAGGAGAGGCTGCAGACCTGGTCCCACATAGCTCTCTGACAGCTTGAGCCGGTTCAGGGACGCTGCACTTCAGCCAGCAGTGGGCAACCACCGCAGGAGACTACCTCACGAAAGAGCCTGGCATAGAAACGCTCCTCTCATCAGCCCTTTAGCGCAGACACGGCAGACTTTAATATCAGTGAGGTGGAAATGGAGAAAGAGAGAGGAAGAGTTCAGAGCTGTGTAGCAGACGTACCGGCGCGGAGCTGTCGGGTAGCGCGACCGGGGAGGGCTGGCAGCAGGGTCTCACACAGCTCAGAGCAGGGCCTCCGGGGCCACAGTCACCCTCTGTGGCGGCGGGACAGGCGGTGGCAGGCGGTGGCAGTCACTGCCGGTGCAGGGATGCCATCTAGTGTCGCCTGGCAGAAGGGTCCGTGAGGCACTGCCACCAGGGATGGGGCAGCCCCGGCCCCACAGGCTCACAGCCTCTCCAGGGCTGAGCTAGGGGCACCCCAAAACCCTCCCTAGCACAGAGAGGTCCTGGGTCACCCTGCTCCTGGCGGTCCTCTCTCGTAGTAAGTGACAGGACCAAAGGAGAGAGGTAAACTATGCTGGGAGAGCCATGCCAAGGCACCCAGTCCCCCAGCGCTGCCCGCAGAGCTGTGCTGGTGCCCCCACTCCTGCTTGCACCAAGGGTCTGCGTGGCACGCATGGTGCAGGACTGAAGACGAAGCAGCACTGCTGTGCCGTGAGCACACGCAGTCCCATGCCGCAGGCACGGCTCCAGGCCCCAGTCAAGACTGACGGGAAAAATCACCCTGCCATGCTCCAGTGGATGTAGGAATGCTAAGGCACAAAGCAGAGAGGCAGCAGCTGCACTAAGCGTGTTGGCTGCACAGGAGCAGTGGAGCTCAAAGCGGTTCCGGTGCCGCCTCAGAGGGCCCTGGAGCAGCTTCACAACCCAAGGCTTGGCGGATGCCCTGGCGTGGGCACACGGCTGCCAGGGGCTGGACGCTCACCAGCCTCACCGATGTCACGGGTCGGCCTCTGCAGCAGGTGGCTTTGTAGAGAAGAAGGGCCAGTTTCACCCCCAGAAACGTGCAACTGATTATCAGCACGAGTAAAGACAAGCACAGGGCGAGGGAGATCTGGCAGTACCACTGACTGGAGTGCAAGGTGCAGCGCCAAGCAAGAAGCCTGCAAGGGGGCAAGGGCAGGTAGGCCGGCTGGGCACTCGCACGACCCCACATGGCAGTGATGGTGAGGACAGCAGACGCGGGAGATGTTGAGAGGGGGCCAAGAGGGTGATGGCAGGATGAAGTGTGCTGGGAAGCTGTGGCTGAGGGCTGGGTGCTGATGGCGGATGAGCCCCATACCATGGCCTGGTCCCGCTCCCCACTTAGCTCAAAGGCTTGGGCAGATGGTGGGTGTGATGCCAGTGTGGCCATACCCGGCACAGCAGCCCTGCGGGGTGGCTGGAGCGCTGGTAGGGAGCTTGAGGCAAGGGAGATGCTGAGAGTCCCCAGAGGGCTGGCTGCTGGCCTCTGCATGGATGTTAGAGGAATAGCTGGCATTTGTCGAGGGGTGGCCGGGGGTGGCTGACACTAGTGTGGCAGCAGGAGCTGGTGTGGATGGTATGGGCTCCACAGTGGTGACTCCAGGAAGCTGTAGGCTTATGACAGGTGGTGTTGGAGTGAAGCTGGAGATCTCCAGTGGCACGGTGGGCGGTGGGGTGGTGATGGAGGCCTCCGGCGGCACAGCTGGTGATGGGGTGGTGATGGAGGTTTCTGTCGGCATGGTCGGCGGTGGGGTGGTGGTGGAGGCCTCCAGCGGCATGGTCGGCGATGGAGTGGTGGTGGAGGCCTCTGGCGGTACAGCTGATGACGGGGTGGTGATGAAGGCTTCTGTCAGCACAGTCGGTAATGGGGTGGTGGTGGAGGTCTCGGGCGGCACAGCTGGTGATGATTTGGTGATGGGGGCCTCTGGGGATATGGTTGTTGATGGAGCATTGGTGGAGGCCTCTGGCGGCACAGTTGGCGACATGGTGGAGGTGGCCACAGGCAATGGCATGGTTGGCAGGGATAAGATTGGGAAGGCCCTGGGTGACAGCATAGTTGACGTCCCTTGTGATGACAAGGAGGTGAACAGCAGAGGTGGAGTGAAAGAAGCTGAAGGAGGCAGAGTATTTGGGCAAATTAACTGGTCATCCCTTAGTGACATTACTGCTTGCCCCACCAGGTGGCGTGGACTCTTGCATGCCACTTGGGTGGGCAATTGAACCCTCTCAGCGTTGCCCTGGATCCAGCTATGCAGGTAGCAAAGGCTGCAGTCACATCTCCATGGGTTCCCACTGAGATACAGTGAGCTGAGCCTCCCCAAGGGGTCCAAGAGCCCATGGGGGACACTTTCCAGCTGATTCTTTCGAAGGTTGAGTATTTTCAGATTTGTGAGAGAAACAAAGACCTCACTGTCCAGAGCAGAGAGCTGGTTTGTGTCCAGCTGGAGGTCTGAGAGCTTGCTGAGCCCAGTGAAGACTCCTCTTGGTAGGACTGCAAGCTTGTTCTGGGACAACACGAGTTTGTTGAGAGATGTGAGGCTGACAAAGATGCCATCTGGAAGTGTGGCCAAACTGTTCCTGCCCAGGTCCAGCTCCCGGAGCTGTGGCATGACATCAAAAAGGCAACTGGGAAGCTCCACAATGTGGTTTGAACCCAGTGTCAGCAGCTTCAATTTCTTTAAACCAAAAAAGCCCTTAGGTGGGAGAATCCAGAAGAGGTTGTTGTCCAAGAGGAGTTTCTCCAGATGGGGCAGGCTCTTCAGGAGCGTGGGTGGCAGCACCCTGAGTCTGTTTCTCTGGAGGTTGAGCTCCAGCAGCCCTGGCTGACCATCCAACAACCCCTCTGGGAGGTCCTGTAGCTCATTCTCATACAGCCGGAGGACTTGCAGCTGGGGGAGTTTGCTAAAGGCGTCCCCAGGAAGAGCCCTGATCCTATTTCTAGCCAAGTCCAAAAACTTTAGGTTGGCAAGAGAATCAAAGATACCTTCTGGAAGAGAAGAGATTGCATTGATGTGAAGAGAGAGCTCTCCCAAATTTTCTAGCCCATCAAACAGTCCTTTGGGGATCTGTGTGATGTGGCTGTCTCTCAGCTCCAATCTCTGCAAGCTTGGGAGGTTTTGGAAAGTACCCACAGCTAGTTCTTCTAACAAGGCACCAGAGATTTCCAAATCCCTCAGTTTCTCCAAACCGTCAAAGGCTCCAGGTTCAACTGTCTTGATTTTGTTGCCAATAAACAGAATTTTGATCAGGGTGGGCATGTATCTGAAGGCACCTTTCCTTATAGCAGTGATGCTGGTCTGCACAAAGATCATCTCAGAAATGAAGGGCTTTGCAGTCTCTGGGATCTCTTTGACATCATTTTTGCTCCCTCTGTAGACCTCCTGATAATCTTTGGGGGTTTCATACTGATCTTCACTCAAGGCTTGCTCTTGGCATTTATCGGGATGGAAGGAGAGGACGAGAAGGAAAAGGAGATGCTGGTACGTTGTCCTGAAAAAAAGTTTTCAGATGTCAAGTATGAAGAAAAATAAAATCTGTGTCCACAGCTCATGAATTATGGTATGGCACTGTCATTCAGCTCTCAGGACTCTTCTACTCATATATCAAAACTCTTTATGAGAGAGAGAGATTGTACAAGCCAAAGTACACTGCATTTACAAGAATTCACTTCTGCTGATAATGATGGATGGAGACAAATGGAGAGACACCCAGCTCACGGTGTGGGAGAGGGGAGACAGTCCAGGAGAGACAGGCTGAACAGTGTCTGTTCTCTGCCTGCCTTCTGCACTTGGGGTTCAGGCTGGACATGCATCTGGGTGAATAAGGTGAAGCGCTGCTGCCTGTTAGCACTACCCCAATGGGACCGTTACTCAGCAGGGCTGTAGCTGATTCATATAACAACAGTAGCAGTCAGGCCTTTGCTTGCTACTACAGCAGATTGGAAAGGGTAGCCAGCCAAGACCAGATGACCTTGTTTACTCATAATTTGAAAATAAATTTACCCTTTAGAACAGCTGACCACCTTAAGTAATGCATCTGTGGAAAAATCAGCATTACTATAATTTTTGTAACAGCAGTCAAGGCAGTGGGACACCCAGCACAAGTCCAACAGCACCAGCTGCCCTCTACTAGGAAGGACGTGTTTTCCTAGGTCGTTCCTGGTGGTATGCAGTGGTGCCACCTCAGCCTTTCAGCACAGCTCCCAGGGGCTGCCCAGTGTCACCCAGGGTCACTGGAAGCAGATACGCTGAAGCAAAGATGCCTGGTGCATCCCTTTTCCTTCCTCTTCTAGCTGTCTTGCTGTAGGTGTCTGCGCCCATCCTTGGGTTTGCTCTGGACATCCGGGTCAGATACCTCCGCAGAACACACTGTGCTGGATGGACTTGCTATTATTGGCACTTCTTTTAGCTCAGGAAGATTATTTAAAGCATTGCTTCTGAATAGCTTTTTTCAGGATTCCTGCTAATCATGTCACAGTTTGGTCTTTGTTATGCAGCTTTTTCAGATAGAAATGTCTGATTTGTAGGTAGCAACTGAGTTTTATTCTTAGGACTAGGCCCATTAATACCCACAAATTAACCATTTGATGCCTAACATTTACGGCTGTGATGTGGAAGCCACAGTCTGCAGTTAGGAGCTGAAGTTACTGGCTTGGGTCTACAGGGAGCCATGTAAACGTCCCCCACTTCCACCTACTCATTCTGAAACATCCAGCTAACACATCCGCTCTGGTTTAACAGCAGTGAGCATCATACTCCAGCAGCAGTTTTCAGTTTGTGAGGCACAGCCCTGGGTGAGAGCAGGAGAAAGGGATGTCGACTGCTTCTTGGGCATCCATCAAAGCTGATTATGGAAAAAGTTTATGTTAGGAGGTGAAATTTCCTATGAAAAGATCTAGAGTCTCTGGAAAATGTTTAGCAGTCAGCAGATTCAGAAGACTGAAAACTTTTGGGTTCGAACAGAGAGATGAGAGGTAAGATGCTAACTGGTACATACATGGTACATGCTAACTTCCCCACAGGGTTTCTCAGGGCCAAAAGCCACTGCCGATCCCTGTCCATCCTCTCTCCAAAGGTAACTCAAGTGGAAGAGTTAGGGGGCCAAGCATATATAAAAGTGCCTGCTTCACTACAGCTGCAGGGGCAGAGCAGATGGCCTGGATTTCATGCACAGACAGGACAGGCTGGGCTGGGTGCATGGGGATAAAAATAAACAGTTTTGACCTGCAAAGTGTTTTTAAGATTCCCGCATCCCAGCTGGCTGCATTGAGCTTCAGCGAGGCCTGCCTCTCTCTCACCCACAGAGCAGGAACAAGGTGGGACGGGCCACGGGAAAAGGCACACAGTTACAGCCTTGCAGCCGTGCTGCAAGGAACAACAGTCCCCCCCACCCCCCCACCCCCAGATCTGCCCTTCCCAGCACAGTTCTGTTTTTAAAGAGCAAAAAAGCATTTTGCATCACTTACTTGGCCAAGCACTTCCGACCCATCGCAGGCACCCGCTCCAGCCGCTTCAGAGGTGAGCTGAGCCAGACGGGGAGCGAGGCCTCCAGAGGAGGGGGTCCGTCCACCTGACAAGGCCGAGGCAGGGAGCTCTTTATCCCCGCAGCGGGTGCAGGGTTTGGTTTCATGTGATGTCTGCTACTCAGCTCTGCACAGGGTGATAAGGGGCAGCATGGGGATCACGTGCCCTGATGTAGCACAGCCGGGCCACCAGCACGGGGAGCAGTTTCTGAAACTCCTTCCAGATGAGGGGAGGCACGTAGTCCCTTAGGGTTATCTGCTGGCACCACTTGACCAGCCACATCCAGAGAAAGCTGAAGATCTGCAGTCCAGTCTGTTCAGTAGCCGATGGTCTCTGCAGTGTTGTATCTCTGGCAGCGTAACCCATCGGCCTCACAGTCACTACCTCCATCAACACAACAGAAAGGAGATTCTTTTACTGAGGCTTTTCCTAGTAAAACTTTTCAAATATTTCTTTCCTCCTGAGCTGGCCAAAAGGTGCTGCTCTGAAGCCATTTCATTAAGCCTGCAACAGTGACAGTGTCTGTGACCCTGCCAGACAGATCCCCTGACGTCTGGCTGTGGCCCAGCACACACAGCTGCTGCTCCACTCGCAGGCTCAGGCTGCTGGGCGACGGACCTGTGGTTGCACCCTGGGCTCACCTGCACCGTAACACAAGCCAAAGCCCCCCCAGGGGGGCTCCCAGGGCTCCCGGCAGGTGCCGCGTGCCCTGTGGGGTGAAATACCTTGTCTGATTCAAAGGCTTAAAACAACAGGGAGTTTATCGTATTCCACTGGGTAGTTGCACTTAAACATTTCTTTTTCATTTTTCACCTCTTCTTAAGGTTCAGCTTATGCTTACCAGGCTTCATTATACCTTTCCTGGCAAATTAAGAAGCACTCCAAATGATTGCATGTATTCAGCAGCCATACCCCTCTCCAGCATAAACCACACATGCATGTTGCCTTTAACACAAAATGTGCCAGCTCTCCTTGTAAAAAGCCCATCTATCGTTGTGGAAACCCCAGCTCTTCTACATTGCAATGGAGCAGCAGTTTCGTGCTGTGCCCTGACACAGGACAGGCAAGAAGAAAGGGACACAAGGGCAAAGAGATGCCTGCTAGTAATGGCTGAGCTTTGGGGACCTCACCTTCCTGGTGAGCTGAGGCTGGGGGGAGGCAGCAGGCCAGGGTAATCACCTCTGTGCCACGAATGGTGCTATCAGACCTCCTCCATAGCAGGAAACATGTGCGTGAGCATGAGTGCATGTGGGAGGAGGATGTTCCCAGATGGGACGGTTCTGTCTTGCCAGTACTATAAACTTGACACGCTAGAAGGATGCTGCCTGGCTGCAGCCCCCACCAGTAATAACAGGGCTGGTTTTCCAGCCAAGCCAGCTAAGCTCGTTGATGCAACCTGCTGGGAGTGGTGTCCCCAGCCTGGCCCCAGGGGTTTGCACACAAACCTGGACCTCCTTAGCCTCTCGCACAGGCACATCCACCAGGATTGTGTGAGATCTTGTGGGAGGCAGGATCCATGCTCTTCAAGGGTGGAACAGGAGAAGGCAAAGAGCAGAAAAAAGGTAGAGTGAAAGTCTGCCCCATCCAAGGGCTGAGAGCCTGGTGCGTGCTAAAACTGTCTTGCTGTTGGACTGACATAACACAACTGGGTCCGACTACCACTGGGCTGGAGCTGAGCCGGCCCTGCAGGGAGATGAGCGTGACCATAGTGTGTCCAGGGCCAGCAGTCATCCCCGCAGTGCTTTGCTGCTCCGGGTGGGCTGTGGCAGCGGGTGGTGTGATGGTCCCAGAACATCCGGGCCCCAGGACATCACCCCCCAGGGAGACCAAACCTAGTAGATCCACAAGAGAAGACTCCAATTTCCTCCAAGCGCAGGTAGGGTCAGGAGAGATGGGGCAGCTCGGGGGGGGTGGTGACTAGGCCCTTTCTGGGTTGTCCCAGCTCTCTCTGGCTCGGGAGAGTCACATGTCCCATCTGCCACAAGATGGTGCAGCAACACTGCACAGCAAACCTCTTTCCCCATCTGGGACAGTGATAAAGGTTGCGCCGGGTGTGCAAGACTGCAGGGCAGCTGGTCCTGGAGTCTGCTGGGCTGTGCGCGTGCACACACACACACACACACAGGCACATCCTCACTCTCTAGGGAAGAGTGCGCCTTACCTGCCTCCCCTGGACGAGCAGTGTTGCTGGGACCTTGCATCCCATCTCCTCAAGCCGGTCTCTGGCAGGCAGAGAGGGCCGTGTGGTGCAGCTCCAGGCCAAGGCCTGCAGGGAGGCTTGGGGGACAGGCCAGGCGCAGCCCCAGGACGGTTCCCGGTGAATCCCATCCGGCAGCAAGGTGGCCACAGTCCCCTCGGCGGGCTGCTGGTGACCCTCGCCCATGGACTCCCAGACCAAACTTGCGCCCGGGGGATTGATGCTGGGTGACAACAGGGTCACTGCACAGCGCGGGCAAGCGGGATGGGATTTGGCATTGGCGAGACGCAGTGGGCAGAGATGACCACGCAGGAGGCCCGCGCATAATCCCCCGCTGGCCCCCCCCCCATGTTTCGGGGGGCCGCGCCAGCCGGGGGGGGGTGACAAGCCCCTCTCGGATGGCAGCGACATTGGCTGCTTCCCCTGGACGCTCAGGCAGAGGCAGGGGAAAAGAGCGCGTTTCTGCTCTCCACCCTGGGAACCGGCCGCACCAAAATACGTATATACAATTTAATGATGCTTGAAATATACAGGAAACACCTGGCTGCGAGTATAAACACCACCAGCGCAGCTCTTGCGTTCGGCGGCGGCAGGGCAGAGGGAGCGGGACGGAGCCGCCTTTCTGGGGCTGGGTTCCGGGGCGCGGGGGGGCG